TTTGTTTATGATTTGGTACAAGTTTTCATTGTACTGATCCAGGTCTACAATAGTCTGCTACACAGCCGTTTTTAGTGTCGTTTTTAGTGTTTTCTCTCTATATAAACCGTTTAGATAAAAACCCGTAAAACGGCCATAAATCGGCCCGTGGACCACATAGAAGAGACGTAACTCACATTTTAAGTAAGGTAAGCTGTTTTGTATTGAAATCCTTTCATTTTCGTAGGTTACAGAACCGATAGATTTTTTCCCATACAAATCCTTATGTTTTGAATGTTACGCAACAATGCCGATGCTCGCCGATGCTCATATTTCGAGCTTGGGCTACCTGTGTTTACACGTGCAAAAAGGATAGGATAACTAAAAGTAAAAGTGTTGAAAGTAAAGTCACCCAATTTCTTAGCCTCTATTCAAAAAATTACAGTCTTGCAATATTAGCTAATATTGGTGCCATCACGCAAGACGTCTAGCTAAATAAAATGAAATAAAGTTAAAAATAATGATAGCAATAACAAAATGGATAAAAATATCATAGCATAGCACAAACAAACAAAAAAAAACCGTCACTCGTGCCCACACTAAGTTCATATCATCTACAGCTTAGGTCCCCACTCCCCACGGGTTTTTGCACTTTGCCCTGGTTCCTTCCACGATGTGAAAATCAAAATGGCCGCCATCAGAACTTGATTTATGAATCCTTCAGTTCTTGGTTTTATCTTCCCTCTTGTGATTTGATCAAAGCGACAAGGTCTTGCTACTAAAGGTAAGAAAGTTTTCAATACATTATGGATATATTCAGTTGTGAAAGTCAACTGACAGCAGCTAGCTACTCGGATGAGAACACACACAGATGATCCCGAGTCCTACTACTTTCGGGCTCGATGTGGGGCCATCAGATCCTAATAACAACGGACCTGAACTTGGTTTCCCAGATACAAATATCTATCTGCTGTTTTATGTTTCTAAGCTTATTACGTTGTTTGGTAACTGAAGGCTTCAATAAGCTTTAAACTTATCTTTTCATGATTATTTTACTATTGCATGTAATGACTGGACGCAAGACGCCTAACTAAATAAAATGAAATAAAGTTAAAAGTAATGACGGTAAAAAAATTTCTACAAAAGATAAAATGGATAAAAAACATCAAATTGACTGGGACTCTGGGACATGTATAACGTATTCTACAGACTACTATCAACGTCTTACCTTTAAAAAGCTGGGCCAAGTTGTTCAAAGCTGGGTTAACCCAGGGTTAGTGCGAGATTTGAATTCAAATTTGAAAGCTTAAAAAGCATTTCAGTTTTAATTCTTTTTGTCTACAAGTTGATGATTGGAAGCTCTAAAAATAACAGAGAAAATTATCCAAGAAATGCTTTTGAACACAAGAAAAGAAACTAGGGTTAAATTTAACCCCGGGTGAAGTGCTAATCGCAGGGCTCAAAGTTTAAATTTGAGTTTGGGAGCACTTGTGCTACCAGATGTAAATTTTTAGGCGCACTGCCGAAATTGAAGGCGCACAGCTGAAAATTTTAGGAGTACAGCTTATAATGTTGGGAGCATCTATTTCAAAATAAAAAATAAAAAGCTTAAAAGTGCAACGTTTATTTGTCATCTTCAGTTTGTTACTTTTACTTCAGTCCTGTGATTGAAAAAACAAAGCCGATTTCCTATGCAGTAATACCGTTGTGATTTTTAATACTAATTTCTCTTTTTGACAGTACAGTTGTGACTAAAGAAAACTTACACTTGAAAAACAATTCAAAACTGACAACAATGAGTGTGTCGAACGAAAATGAAAATTAATCTTTAATGAATTTGTTAAATGCGCAATGACTTACATGTAACTGGAATACGACTTGAAAAACTTTCTTACCTGGAAAAAAGGCTCTTAATCCGCACTGTTTTTGTTTTGATTGACGTTAAAACTAAACGTTCAACATGTCCATTCCGCAAAAAGTACGTGTTTCGTTCGTAGCATATAATGCATGTGTCAGCGGTATTTATTACAAAACAGAAGAGTCTGGGATGAAGTAAAACATTGAAACGAAAAAAGAACATTCAAGTTCGTAGAATCCATTGGGAGAAAAGACCAATTAAACATACACCGTCTTTCTAGTTCGAGTTCGTAAGGATAGTCGGAAGTAAGTCAGTCGCACTGTGCTTTGGGTTTTACGGCGCACAGGTGCGATTACACATGAATTTTTAGGCGCACAACCAAAAATCCAGTCGCATATGTGACCAGTTAGTGGCTAACTTTGAGCCCTGAATCGGCCTTCGAACAACTGGGCCCTGGTTTACTAACTTAGAACAAAGGCCACTGAATCGTAGCCAACAGTTACCAGCGCTGTACAAATGACTTATTGACGAGATCAAGCAAAACTAACTACGAGAGAAGACCTGGAGAACTGACAATTTGACTAACAATAGACGACTGTTTAACTGTGACAATAGACGGATCGAAATGCACCAATTACTGACTACGAGTCTTCATAGCCAATAACATCATGGCTTAATTGATGGACGACCAATAACATTGCGACGTAATTGACCAATCAGATAAATAACCAGAGTATAATACCATCAACTGACATGATAAAACTCACTTTGACTCTGAAAATGACTACCGCACAGGTTGTGGAAATGTCAGTCACTGTCAACAACAACAGTCCTATTCAGGACTCATTTCACCTGGACGATCAAACTCAACCTACTTTTCATTTTCTTTACGTTTACATGTGGTTGACAATCATGTGGCACTCGAGGTTGCCCTTTTCTGTGGTAGTTGGTGTCTCATTGACCGATTTAAAAATATGGGTGGGATTTTCAGGATCTGGCACAGGCTGGGGAATATGTTTCATGGGTACAGGACTTTTCCATCCTTTGTTAGAAGTAAGAACGAAACGAACAACGTTCTGTGATCATGGTAGAGCAGTCACCATAGAAGTACTCCATGAAGAGATCATCAATTTTGTAATGGGCATTGATGAATTGTAGAATTTTTATAATATTTCGCACTTCCGGGGACCCATGATTTCCTATTCTGATTGGCAGATTGGTATTCCTCAAGATTACTCCTCCTCAGCTTCATTTTTCCCAGCAGGGAGAGCAGTTATGAAATCCTCTAACACCAGCGCATCATCTACTCTCTCTCTGTACCACAATTTATTGGGTGTATTTCAATACCAAAACAGTAACTCACCAAATAACTGTCTCATTTCTTCCACAATTTTAGCTTTAGTTGATATTTTTTAAGAGCCCGATCTCTTTATTTAAGAAAAAAACACAAAGCTCGTCACCACGGAAAGAAAAATCTTCAAGGCCTGTTCAGTTTTTTCCTGACCTGGTCATTGCCATAAATAATGAACCATCCCTTAGATCTCATTGTGTTTTGAACTGGGACTCATGATTTCTTACAAGATGAGTCCCAGGACGTACACTGTACCATAACTATTTGTAACAAAATCACTGCTGATCTGGTATAACTTATTCATGTGCTAGAAGTCGCGATTTCTTTTTAATCTTCAACTGCATAACCTCCAAGTTTATGTGCTTGAGTGTTTCTAGTTTGCATTCCACTTGTTTTATACAGAATTAATTTTTTGATATCATCTTCTGGCAGCTGTTTGTTTGATGTTTGTTTGTTCCAGTTCCAGAACGGGAAGTAGGGAACCATTACTTTAGTCTGCTTCTTCCTCTCCCTTTTCTTTGCTTTTGGTAATGCATTTCACTAAATTAAGTAACCTCCCTATCAAATAATCCTCACTCTCTGTTACACATGCTTAAAAAAATAAACCTCTAGGGAGCTTTATAGAGGATTTATGGTAATACAGGTTCCACTATATTGTTTGTAGGAAAGCTGCATGCTTAACCTTAATGACCAATATAATAATTGTAAAAGTATTTTATTGCCAACGAGACAACCAAGCTAATAATTCTGTGTAACCTTATATAATTTGAATTTTGCTTTATAATTTATATTTAAAGCAACAGCTGATCAAAGAATAGGGTTATAAGCTCAAATTTTTGTCAGAGCCAGCTTATTCCTTGCAGCTCGATTTACATGGTTTTCAGTGTTGTCTTTTCCTTTGTAAATTGAATTTGAAGCAGTAGCTGTTCAATGAATAGGTTTATACAGTCAAAACTTTTATCATAACCAGCGTGTTCTTCGCAGTTCGATTTACATTGAGCTAGTCCTGCATGCATGTTCTTTTGCTGCTCAATTTACCTTTAGACAGGCCTAAACTAACGTGAGAATTGCAATGAGTTTCTGAACGTTTTGTTTTAAAGACTATCATTATGCCTTTTGAGAGTGACACTAGCTGAAGTTTTTATTTTTATACCTCTGGTACATTCCGCCCCATTTTGACACATTTTGCTTTACACCACTTTTTTCACCATGTATATTACCGTGCGGAATACTGTTTTCTTACCCTGGATGATGCTGTTTATCGGCAAAAGGCAATGGTTTCTTTAGTCTGCTTCTTCCTTTTTTGCCTTTTGTTATGCATTTCACTAAATTAAATAACCCTCCCTCTCAAAAAAATCCTTACTCTCTGTTAAACATACTTAAAAAATAAGCCCCCAGGTGGCTTTGTAGGGGTTAACAGTAATATAGGTTCCACTATTTTCTGTATTACACCAGCATGATGAGCCTTAATTACCATTTATAAATACGTGTTACTTTACAAACCACATATCCAAATACAAAGTCAACAAAATAATGATAAAATTAACCCTGCTGATGGATTTTCCATTTTGAAGGGGTCATGTAAAGTTGTACATGTAGGTATGTAGTCAGTTTATGAAAGGTCTAGAACCACTTTTTCATAGGCAGGCATCTTTAAAGGTTTCGTCTCCCTCGCAATCTTCAGATCTCGCACCCCCTAGCTACAAAGTTGGGGCACCAAAACGTAACATTATTGTGCATTTACCTGAGAATATTTCTTTTTCCTGCCAAAGGGTACCGTAACTATAACACGTTACAAGAAGAACAAACTCAATGTCCTTTGAGTGCCTGCAGTGCCGCAAGTGCTTTAGTCTAGCAGGAAACCTAAGAATTCATGAAAGAGTTCATACTGGGGAAAAGCCTTACAAATGTAAACAGTGTGGCAAGAGTTTTAGCCAAGCAGGAGCCCTAAAGATTCATGAAAGAGTTCACTCTGGGGAAAAGCCTTATGAATGTAAACGGTGTGGCAAGTGTTTTAGCCAAGCAGGAACCCTAAGGATGCATGGAAGAGTTCACACTGGGGAAAAGCTGAACAAATGTAAACAGTGTGGCAAGTGTTTTAGCCAAGCAGGAACCCTAAGGAGTCATGAAAGAGTTCACACTGGGGAAAAGCCTTACGAATGTAAACAGTGTGGCAAGTGTTTTAGTCTAGCAGGAAACCTAAGAATGCATGAAAGAATTCACACTGGGGAAAAGCCTTATGAATGTAAACAGTGTGGCAAGTGTTTTAGCCGAGCAGGAGACGTAAGGATTCATGAAAGAGTTCATACTGGGGAAAAGCCTTATGAATGTAAACAGTGTGGCAAGTGTTTTAGCCAAGCAGGATACCTAAGGATTCATGAAAGAGTTCACACTGGGGAAAAGCCGTACGAATGTAAACAGTGTGGCAAGTGTTTTAGTCTAGCAGGAAACCTAAGGATGCATGAAAGAGTTCACACTGGGGAAAAGTCTTGCGAATGTAAACAGTGTGGTAAGTGTTTCTGTGAAGCAGGAAGCCTGGGGAAGCATGAGAGAATCCAGACCCTTGTTGAGTCACGTAAATGTTTCCGGAAAAACAAAAGTGTTTCTAAACGTTTGGAATCTTTCAAGCGGAAGAGAGCGGGAGGTAAAAACGTTATTGTTAGAGCCATAGGTTTTAGAAACAACCTTCAAACACAGAGGAAGACTGGAAACGCTGATGTATCAGATGCACAATTGGTCATCTTTGAGAATTACGGCTGCTGGATTTGTCAAGAGGAGATGAGTAGTGAGGCTCTTCTTCTTCAACATTATGAAAATCATATGACATATGTTTGTGAAGATGACTCTTAAGTTGATCAAGGTAAAAACTATGGGGAATTCTGTAGGCCCTAGGAGGAGGGGGTGCATCAAATTACCTTGCACCTCCCCACGGGCACCTTAGGGTTGATGACCAATGATTTCAAACAAAGTGAATTAGTGATACTTTGCCTACAATGTACATGTAATTGCAAAATCGTTCTGAATTTTTTGCGACAGTTGAGCAGCTCTTAACATAGTTCGCCAGGGAATGGACCGAAGAAAGCAAGAAGAGAGACCACTGCCAGATTTTTTCAACCCATGAATAACTCTGTTTTAAAGCTGCCTCGAAAAGAAACTGAAAGTGCCATTAGTGAATATTTGGGCTGCAGAATTATATAAGAACCGAGTTTTTTTCCTTTAAAAATCTTGATGGTAAATTTACAAGTAAGAGATTGCTGGGCATTTGGACACGGACGTCCTAGCGGGAGTGGCCCATCTCATCTGTTTAGTGTCACGTAACTAGAGAAATATAAGTTATATGTACTATCCCTTGGGGGGGGGGGGGAATACTCTTAGGAATTCTTGTTGTGGCGCCCAGTTCTCTAAATCCTGACCCTACTTCAGACCAAAATTTTCATTTTGACACCCGTTTTCAGACCAGTCCTGTAAAATCCATACCCATTTTCAGACCTTGCCTTTAAGCAGAAATTATGTCATGATTCATTAGATCAGAGCATAAACAAAAAGTTTATTCCAATGCATTTCGAATTCGTATATTTCTATTTGTTTCTTTTTCATTTGAAATTGATACGAAAAATACGTTCATACGCTCCCATTGTTCGCTCGAAAACCATACTCGATTCCAGAGAAAAATTTACACCCGTTTTCAGACCAAAAAGGTCCAAAAACCAAACCCTTTGGGGCAGCAAATACCTTTATGGCTTATATAAGGGGTTTTTCCACCCCCCGGGTACTTTCTAACATACTTTTTTCTGCATCGTTCATCTGTTTGCGAAGAAGCCCCTAACTTGGAACACTACTGAAAGATCTTTATAATCAGCAGCAAACTTTGTGAATAATCAGACTTACAACTTTCGTTCTATTTTACTTTTGAAATTGTGATGCCATTATAAAGTAGTCTATTTGCCATACAATCAATTTTTAAGGTCCAATATTTTGCAAATTGTCCACGTTTCGATTTTTCTTAATACTGCCGGCCCTCAAAACGCTCGCAATGTACTCTGAGAAAATCTAGTTGTCCCAACGGCCCCTCCCCTCCAAGAAACAAGTGCACATGCAGTCGTTTTGGTCTGTCTTCTCGTTGGAACGCACTCTCACAGAAAAAAACCTGGGTACGGGCGTGGCTGAGGATAATGTTTTAGAATAACCTCCTGCCTCCTTCTACATCTCTGGCCTCAGATCTTTCGCGCCGCTGTATCTCAACCAGGAACGAAAAACACACCGAACAACTACCTGCTTCGCAGGCTGCTGCAAGTAGTAGTGGAGAACTGAACTGCTCGCTAAGTAACTGACTTTTTTGCTGCATTTTATAATGAAAACGACTGATAGAAAGTACAGGTTGTACATTTTATTGCCTCGTAAATTTCTAAGATCAATATCATTACCGGCTTTGAGTGCATGTAAGCGATTCATTTAAGAGATTACCGATTAGCCTGCGAGCAAGCTCATTTGGGGATATCGTGAAAAGTAGACGCGCGTGAGGCACGCGAGAGGAGATGCGAAAGCGGGGGATGGCCCCTCGCGGCTCGCTTCGTTTGCCCAAACATGAGAGTTTGATCGTAGGTAGGAGCCCATACCCGGGAGTGTGCAAACCCCATATTAGGCCTATGTCACGGCGGTTTTAGTGACCGGTTTATTTGTAGACACAGTTTAAGACAATTTTTCCCGCGAAAATGAAATCTCCGCCACGTCCATGAACGCATTCGAAGTATAAGCTATCAAAAAGGAAAACGTAACGTCATTAAAAGGCAAAAGTTATTATTTTTAGGGCTGTAGGTTTTCCTGACTGGTTTGTGTGACTTTAAAGATATCGTAAAATTCCGAAAATAAGCCCCAGGGCTTATATTTTTCAAAAGCCTCTTTTGAGGGGCATATTTTTGGAGGGACCTGTATTGGGAGGGGCTTATCTACGGAGGGAAATTTGCGTTTCAAAATCGGCCAGGCTTATACTGGGAGCGAAATTTAAGCCTCAAAATCGATTGGACTAGCTTATGGTTGGAAGCAAACTTTATCAGTAATTTGCAGAAAGTTTTTACCGAAACTAACCTTGCGAACGTAGATCTTACTGAAACTAAGCCATGCGAGTACTTTGTCTATATGGAACGAGGAAATCAAAGCCAAATGCAAAAATTTTTGTGTTACTGTACAGTTTTTGCTTTGATTTATTTTNCCCCCCCCCCCCCCCCCGGGCAACCATTTGACATTTTTGAAGATTATTAATTGTTCAAATTCCTCCCTACCTGGGCCAAAATGCGGTTCAAATGCCTCACACTAGGATCCATTCAGGTGATCAAATGCCCCCACCCTGGGGACATTTCACAGGCACAAAAATGACAGAAGGACGGCGGAAACGCCTTCAGTTGCCGATCAAAATCTTTAACAAAAACTGAGAAACACTTTTAGCGAATTTACTGCGAACAAAAGTCTCGTGCAAAGCGGCGGAAATCGCTGCTACAAGGTCACTGAATGCTCAGCTTTTCTTCGTCATGCAACATACAAAGCGTTCTATAAAAAAAGATCCCACCTATTGAGATTACTACATCATGATCATTTCACTGACATGCATCATCACTCACCTTATTAATTAACATACTTGCAGTAGGTCAAAGTAGTTGACCTGAGCTTTTTATTTTATTTTATTTTATGTTGTTGTATTGAATCGCCGGTATAGGTATTGTATTTCATTGTAAACACAACAATAAAATACATTCATACATTCAAAGCCTGAATCCAGTATTAAAAATTTTAAAATTTAAATACTTCAATTACGGCACAAAGCTTGTTTAAGCCCTTTCCTCGTAACCAATTGGCCGCAAAGCCACAATCTTTTTCACGAAAATCCCCTAACACCGCGTCCCTCATGATAGCTCGCCACGCCAAAGATTTTACATGAAATCGAGGGTGCAGTTCAAATTCCCCACCCCTAAAGCATGGAGATCAAATTCCCCATCCCCTGGAAGACTCTGATAATCAAATTCCCTCCTCCCCGGGACGGCAAAAGTGTCAAATGCCCGGGGGGGCATGTTGAAGCTTCGATTTGACCGATACATTATATTTGGAGGGGCTATACATGGTGGGGCTTATTTTCGGAATTTTACGGTGTTCTAAATTCGCGCCAAGACCGTTCTAATGAGCTCCTGTCGCAGGCCAGATTTCTGCCTTGTTTGAGATACCTGTGGACATGTCTTGGAAGGCGCGGGTCACTTATTTAAAAATAAAGGTCCCTTATAACGTCTTCCTCGGAGACACTACTAATGCAAAGATTTTGAAATGTGCAGGGTCTCTGAAATAGCATTTTAGGCCTTCTTAGAGCATTTATTTCGTTCCCATTTAAGAAGTGTACTTTGTTTAATACCCGCTTAATTTTTCTTTGTTGAAGCTATAAAGAAATAATTTTCAGTCTTTATCGAACTGAAATGAACACATTGAACCGAATAGCAGCGTGAAGAGCGTGGCCGCTGACCAAATTAAACGTGCCTGTCAAAATTATTGGGGGGTCCCATGCCTCCCCCCCGGCCCCTCGCCATCCTACGGTACTGAAAAATCAGTAAGAAACAGTATTATAAACTATAGTATTCAGCAGAATTTTCGAATCAAAGCATAACCTTGAACGTACAGAAAATGCGTTACCGTCAAAGGGCAGGGAACTCAGGGAAGTATCAGAAGTCAATCCCGCGCGCGCTCGTTCCTTTTCCTCGCTTTGGGCGGAGGTTACGAACCCAGCCCACCTCAATGACCACCCCAATCACTTGTAGAAAAGTATAAAACGGCAACGAGGAAGTAAACAAAAGAATAAAACGAAAAATATATAGACAAATATATTTCAATATCTATATTTTTTGTTTTAAGGATCAGTTTGCCGTGTTTATGATTTTGTACACAGTACAAGTTACAGGTCTACAACTAAGAGATCTTGCACCATTCAACGATTTGTTGCTTGGACTTGCTGATATTTTATATTTTCTCACCCCGATCTTTGCGTGAATCGCTCATATATTTGGAAAATGATTTACTCGTGCATGAAAGATAGGATAACTAAAAGTAAATGTGTTGATAGTAAAGTTATCCAATTTCTTAGCCGTTATTAAAAATTTATAGTCTTGCATTAGAGGTGCCATCACGGAAGACGTCTAACTAAATAAAATGAAATAAAGTTAAAAATAATTATACCAGTTACAAAATCTCCTACAAAAGATAAAATGGATGATAATAATATCATAGCATTAATTATTGTACAATATGGACTTAATGTTTACAATTTCGCTTGGTAACGCATTTCAGTTAGAAACTGATCACTAAACAAACAAAAAAACACCCGTCACCCAGGCCCTCACTTATGTGGCTTAGGTCCCCACTCGCTACGAGTTTTTGCACTCCTCAACCTCAACCCCAGGGTCTTCTCGCTTTCCAATATGGCGGCGACAGGAAAGCGAGAAGACCCTGGGACGAGGTTGTGTGAAAAGCAAAATGGCCGCCATCAGAAAGTGAGTGATGAATCTTTCAGTTCTTGGTGATCTTCCCTCGTGTGATTTGATCAAAGCGACAACATCCTGTTACTAAAGGTAAGAAAGTTTTTAATACAGTATGGATATATTCAGTTGTGAAAGTCAAATGACAGCAGCTAGCTACTCGGGTGAGAACACACACAGATGATCCCGAGTCCTACCACTTTCGGGCTCGATGTGGGGCCATCCGGTCCTAATAAAAAAAACAATAACAACGGACCTGAACTTGGTTTCCCAGATACAAATATGTATCTCCTGTTGTTAAATTTTTTTATGTTTCCAAGCTTATTACGTTGTTTTGTATCTGAAGGCTTCAATAAGCTGTAAACTTATCTTTTCATGATTTAGGAATCCGGACGTTTCGTACCCACGGACGTTTCGTACCCAGACGATTCGTAAAGCTTAGATGATTCGTATCCAACTGCCTTTTTGATAATAAAACATTTTTAATCATATCTCTCTCAAAACAATCTAAAATAAACATTTATATAAATCAGAAGAACTCGTTACCTACGCGCTAGTTTAATAGATCAAATTATAACCACCGCTCACTTTCTTTGCGTAGACTCGTGACGCGTGAGCGGCTCCGACACTAGAGGAGGTGAGACTTGCGGTTAGTTCTGTGGTTTCGATCTTTTGTTTTAGTGAAAGCCTTAACTTAAACTACGAAAACACACTGTTTACAACATAAAGACTTAGTTATTGCATGGGTACGAATCATCTTAGCGTTGGGTACGAATCATCTCAACTTTGGGTACGAATCGTCTGGGTACGAAACGTCCGTGGGTACGAAACGTCCGGTAAGCATGATTTAATATTGCACGTAATGACCTTTGGTCACCTTTATTCAAAAATCTGTAGTCTTGCAACAGGGTTGCCATCACCCAAGACGCCTAATAGGTCATTTTCACTATCACGCAACAAAAAAATAAATTGGAAACCATCCAGTGGAAGAAGCCAAGAAACTGAAATGTTATAAAAGACTAATATATAAACAAGTTGTCCCAAGTCTCAGGTCTTTGTCGCTCACAGTTTCTGAGTTATTTGCCGAAACGTTTCACGCACCTTTGTAGAGCGTTGTATGGAGACGCCACATTGGTGCACTGTTTTGGTGCACCAATATGGCCACCAGATATCAACAAAAGATCTGAAGTTCACTTTTTCTTTTGAAAAGCTCTTTCTTTTCACTCGAGAACTAGCATACGTGCACATAAACATATCTTGTAATACTTGAAGTGGTTATACTACTGAAAATCAAGAGGAGAGTTTCTCAATGAGACAGCATTCCTATTTCGGTGCCACGCACTATGAAAACTACGAAGTTCAAATTGCTGTATTTTCGAAATGAAACATGCTACGGGACTAGAAACTTGTACAAAGATTTATTTTTTGTTTATCTTTAACCTAGTGTAAATAAGAATTCGTAAAACCTCTCTATTTTGACTCTACCATTTGATGACATCGCTGTGAAAACCATCTATAAAATGAAATAAAGTTAAAAGTAATGATGGTAAAAAATTTTCTACAAGAGATAAAATGGATAAAAGTTCCACAGCATCAATCATTAATATTTATTTACTGTAATATTAAAAATTCATCATTGACTCAAATACTAAAATAAGACTTCTTTGAATCGATCTGTGGACTTAATGTTAACAATTTCGCTTGGTAACGCATTCCAGTCCTTGACAGTTTTACAACTCGCACAGATGTCAAGTGTTGTCTAGTATTATCTTTGCCTTTGAATACAGCCGTCTCTCCTCGCTCTTCACGGATAGCAGGCTACTTGTATCTAAGCAATTTGGAAGAAAATAGTTGTATTCAGTAAGAGTCTTGTTTACTTTGTTGTTCAATTCAATGTCCACGTTAGTTATCTGCTGTGATTTCTTAATATTAAGGGCTTTTTTATTCATGTACACAATTATGAAAGTATTTGACCAACTAGTTGGATTTTACTAAAAGTATTATCCCTCTTGCTCTCATGGCCTTTGAGTCAATAGCCCATATGGCCTTCGACCTCATGGTCTATTGACTCAGAGCCCATTCAGGCTTGAGGAATAATTGTTTATTTATTTATTTTATTTATTTATTACAATCTTTGAATTAAAAATCAAAGGATGAACTGTAAAGGAGTCCTAGACCCCATATAAAAACAGATCATCTAAAAATATATAGAAACACAATAAAATAATAGTTTCAGAAAATACAGAAATATAAAAGCTACTTAAAAATCACTAAAAAATATTTACATTATTAGAAACACGAATGTCTAATGGTAGTTGATTCCACTGGTCAGTAATTCTATGGAAAAAACTATACTTCAGGACATTAGATCTGGCATATTTCTTCTTTAAAGTTAAAGAGTCCTTAGCCCTAAGTGAGAAGCGGTCAGCTTCTGAGTGGAAATCTATTATTTTACTGTCAATGTTGCCATTAAGTACTTTATATAAGAAAGTCACATCAGCCAGTGATCTTCTCTTCTCCAGTGACAGGAGGTTTAAGTTCTTCAACCAAATTTCATAAGATAAGTTTAGTCGCTCTTCTCTGTACTACTACGACTAATTATTGTTAATTATTATTTGGACCAAATGAATAAGTGATAGGTTGTATTAATAAATCAAACTGTGACACTTCATGTTGACTGATCCAACAATTTTGTCACCTCGGAGTCCTGCTTCCCTTAAAATCAAAAAAAAAATCCCCAAAGATGCAAAATCATAATTCATGGTATGCATTCCATAGGACACAAAGATTGGTCAACCAATATGAAGATGTTGTTCTAGAATATCCTGTTTGCATAATTTCTGTGGTTGTTGTTAACAACACATATTAATTTCTTTTAGTCTTTGTTGTACTTTAAAATAGAAGGAGTATATTTTTTATTTCAGTTAACTGTAATACAGAGGTTTGGAGTCTGTCTTCAGATTAACTCCCTGGTTACATAAAGGCCAAAGCATTTTCAATTTAGGGACGGTTCATTATTTATAAGGATGGCCAGGTCAGGAAAAAAATAAAAGCCTTCCTCTTTCTTTCTAAAGCCCACCCAAAAAGCACAATGTTTTTTTCGTAGCCTGTTCAGTATTTGTGGTCAAATTTTCAAACGCGTGTTCAATTTGACACTGATTTGAAGTGAGTAACTTGTGAAAATCATGAAATCTTTATTTACAACTGGAGCAACTAGTGTATGTTCGGATGATTGGATAAAATACAATGACTTGGAAGAACCTTTGGAGTTTTCCAACCTCGCCAAATATAACTCCTTGTGAAGTAAAATTTTCCCTGAAAGTGTTCGACATTTTTTTAAAGGAATAAGTTTCTACAAACCTGTGTTTAAAATGTGTTGAGAACACATTCGCGAGACGATTCGAGAGGTCATTCAATACTATGTTCCAGGTCTCTGTTGAATCAGCAAGACATGGAAAGACTGGTAACTAATGCAAAAATTAACAAATATTTATATATTATACTACACTGATTTATTAGATTTTGTTATAGCGACCTGCATTAAATTTTAAGAACATCAACTGTTTGCAAACTCAATCAAAACCATATAATTTTTCTTCCTCTGAATCGCTTTGAAAGACAAACCATATCTTATCACTTTTATTGATGCTATAAAATTCCCGTTCGCCAGAAGCTGCGTCTTGCTCTGAGTCGGGCCCACTTGACAATTCTCCAAGGACAATATCCTCCTCACTTTCATCATCCCCTGAGCCGCCAATTCCTTTGCTGTCGTCTTCCGTTCCACCTTCCTTTGCTTCCTCATCAGTAGACTCATTTATATCTTCCCACTGACCATCCTCACCATGAAGCACACACAACAACATTCACCTTATTTTTTCAGCTTTGGTGCCGCTGCTTATGAGTTTGTAATGTTTAAGATATTTTTGAGGTCAGACATAAGCAACTTTTGTAAATCTCCAGACTCCACGAGATGGCGCCAGGCATATTCTTTAAATGTTTTGGATGTCAATTTACGCTTTTGTTCTGTGCACCCCCTTGTTCTCTTAAAAAAGGCACTTTGTTTTTTGAGATCTTCTACATGAGCAATATACATGTATGTCTTGATCAAGTGCATCTCTGTGGCAAAATTCTCTGAAAACTGCTGCATCTCTTCTTCCATTGATAACATGCTTGCATTAAACATTTTCTTTATTTTACACGTGGTTGAAAATCATCTGGCACTCGAGGTTGCCCTTTTGTGTGGTAGTTGGTTTCTCATTGACCGATTTAAAATGGGTGGGATTTTCAGTATCTGGCACAGGCTTCCTTTGTTAGAACAAAACAAACAACGTTCAGGGATCATGGTAGAGCAGTCACCGTACAAGTACTCCATAAAGAGCTCCCCAATTTCATAATGGGCATTGATGAATAATTCATTTATTTATTGTAGAATTTTTTTAATGGTCGCACTTCTAGGGACACATGATTTCCTATTCTGAGTCGCAGATTGGTTTTCCTTAAGATTACTCATTATCGGCTTTGACTTTTTCAGCAGGGAGAGCAGTTGTGAAATCCTTTAACACTAGCGCATCATCTACTCTCTCCCTGTACTGCAATTTATTGGGTGTATTTCAATACCAATACAGTTTCCACATATTGTCTCACCAAATAACCTCCGCATTTCTACCTCAGTTTTAGCATAAGTTGATAATTTTTTTAAAGCCTGATCTCTTTGTTCAGGAAAAAAACACAAAGCTCGTCACCACAAAAAGAAAAATCTTCAAGGCCCATTCGGTTTTTTCCCGACCTGGTCATTCCCATGAATAATGAACCATCCCTTAGATCTCATTGTGTTTTGAACTGGGACTCATGATTTCTTACAAGATGAGTCCCAGGATGTACACTGTACCATAACTATTTGTAACAAAATCACTGCTGATCTGGTATAACTTATCCATGTGCTAGAAGTTCTGATTTGTTTTTGATCTTCAACTGCATAACCTCCAAGTTTTTGTGCTTGAGTGTTTCCAATATTAAGAAATGGTAAACATGCAGCGTGCAACCATGGAGTTATGGATGCACGCGGGAGGTTGCTAAGCACGAAAGAAGCGTAAGAGTCGCACAAGGCAATAGCCGAGTGTGACTCTAGCTTCTTGAGTGCTTAGGAAACCTCCCAAGTGCATCCATAACTCCATTGTTGCACAGCTGCAACGTCTACCATTTCTTTTATAACATAATCAAAAGAGAAAAACATGATTTTCCATTTGCCTTCGGTTGAGTCATCGGTATGAGTTCATGTATGCTGCCATCTGCCTGCGCATAAACAAATCATGTTCTATGTTTTTCAAAAACTTGCCTTTGAGTTTTTCCTTTGCTGAATCAGCCGTTCTCTGTCTCCAGGTGAATTGCAAAACGTTTTCGTTGTTATTCTGAATGGCATCTGTCTACTTGCACTTAATATTAGGGTAAAAACTTTGAGAGAAAACTATAGCTGCAACTATAAACACCAACTAAAAAGACTCTAAAACATTAGCTAAAACTAAATAAATGAAAAAATTATCAAGCTTATTTATGTGACAATTTTTGAAATAAACATAAAGTAGAAATGAGAAAATTTGACTGTAATTCCTTTAGAATAACAGGTAACTCTAATTTTAAAAAGAAATTAACTAGCTTTGAATCAAAATCTGTCTGGAGAAATCCAGGTATGAAAGTCAAAGTTGCAACTGAAATTCGCCGACACACAGCCGGCGCTGAAGCTGTTGTTTTTCGACCGTTCTCTGAACGACTGTTATGAGTGAACACTGAGGAACAAAATAATACACACAGAAGTTATTTTTTGAAAGATTTATTTGAAAACCCAAATGTTTCTGTAGTCAAATGAAATTTGCTTATTCCAGCATAATGTGCCCGTTTAAACTCAACTAAAATTTTTAATCGATGGGATGAAAACTTCACAACAAAGCTGTCTCGAATTTGCGTGTGTTTCCTAAAATATTTGCTTGAATTTAGCATCAGCTTGACCAAAAAGTCAGTAACGCAATGCTAATTGATATATTTACATTTCAAACCTGTAGACTTTCTCTTCGATAAAAAACACACAAAATGTGTACCTTAAATCTTCGCTCGCTCGATTTTCCTTCAGCCGATTCTAGCCGCCAGGAAAACAGTGATTAATTCATCCAGGGCAGATTTGTCGCTTGATCTTTCGCCTTTTTTTCCTTCAAAATGACAGCTTAGTATTTTCTTCAACTTCCACTTTTCATCTGTGCATTTCATCTGTGTATTTTCCCGTCAGGAGAAATTGCTAAAATTTTACTGCGCTAGCTCAGTTTCTTGTCGTGCACCCATGGGCAAATGGTAGTGGCTAACTGACCAATCAGAGTGCGTGAGTTACTTTTGTTATGTTATAATTTGCATTCCACTTGTTTTATACAGAATTGATATCATCTTCTGGCCCCTGTTTGTTTGATTTTTGTTTGTTCCAGTTCCAGAACAGGAAGTAGGGAACCATTACTTTAGTCTGCTTCTTCCTCTCCCTTTTCTTTGCTTTTTGTAATGCATTTCAGTAAATTAAGTAACCTTCCTATCAAATAACCCTCCCTGTCTGTTAAACATGCTGAAAAAAATAAACCTCTAGGGAGCTTTATAGAGGATTTATACTGCCACATTGAAAGCTGCATGATAAACCTTAATGATCAATATTGTAAATGTATGTTATTGCCAATAAACCAAGCTAAGAAGCGAGGTTGCCTCCACTGCAGATTCATAATTCTGTGTAACCCTCTATAATTTGAATTTTTGACCATATTTGAACGTAAGTAAGACCACATATTTGGGCAATCGTGTCATGGTCTTTTATTTGCAACTCCTGGTTCGAGATTAAGTGAAAAACTGATCATTATCTGTTCCTGAGGATCTAACGGGTGAGAAAGCTTTAATACGATTTCTTGTTTGCAAGAGCTATTAGTGCTCAGTTTTGCTTTATAATATACATTTAAAGCAACAGTTGGTCAAGTATTAAGGTTATAAACTCAAATTGTCAGAACCAGCTTGTTCTTTGCAGCTCGATTTACATGGTTTTCAGTGTTGTCTTTTCCTTTGTAAATTAAGTTTGAAGCGGTAGCTGATCAAGGAATAGGCTTATATTCTCAAATTTTTGTCAGAACCAGCTTGTTCTTTGCAGCTCGATTTACATGGTTTTCAGTGTTGTCTTTTCCTTTGTAAATTGAGTTTTGAAGCGGTAGCTGATCAAGGAATAGGCTTATATTCTCAAATTTTTGTCAGAACCAGCTTGTTCTTTGCAGCTCGACTTACATGGTTTTCAGTGTTGTCTTTTCCTTTGTAAATTGAGTTTGAAGCGGTAGCTGATCAAGGAATAGGCTTATATTCCCAAATTTTTGTCAGAACCAGCTTGTTCTTTGCGGCTCGATTCACATGGTTTTCAGTGTTGTCTTTTCCTTTGTAAATTGAGTTTGAAGCGGTAGCTGATCATGGAATAGGCTTATATTCTCAAATTTTTGTCAGAACCAGCGTGTTCTTTGCAGCTCGAATTACATGGTTTTCAGTGTTCTCTTTTCCTTTTTAAATTGAATTAAAAGCGGTAGCTGATCAAGGAATAGGCTTATATTCTCAAAACGTTTATCAGAACCAGCGTGTTCTTCGCAGTTTGATTGTTTATATTTTTTTTAATGGAGGGATTTTGTCAACCAGCATGACCCAAACTAATGTAAGGAATGCAACAAGTTTGGGGACATTTTGTTTTAAGGACTATCATTATGCATTATACATTCTGCCCCATTCTTGCACTTTTCACCCTTTTTGCTTTTTTTCATCATGTATATTACCATGTGGAATACTGTTTTCTTACCCTGGATGATGCTGTTGATCGGCGAAAGGAAACCGTTTCTTTAGTGTGCTTCTTCCTTTTTTGCCTTTTGTTATGCGTTTCACTAAATTAAATAACCCTCCCTCTCAAATAATCTTTACTCTCTGTTAAACTTGCTTAAAAATAAGCCCGCAGGTGGCTTTATAGGGGATTTACAGTAACACAGGTTCCACTATTTTCTGTATTAAAGCTGCATGATGAGCCTTAATTACCATTTATAAATGCGTGTAATTTTACAAACCACAGGGAAGTCTCAAATCCAAATACAAAGTCAACAAATGATTAAATTAACCCTGTTGATGGATTCTCCATGTTGAATGGGTCATGTAAAGTTATACATGTCGGTATGTAGTCAGTTTATGAAAGGTCTAGAACCAGCCTCGTACCCAGGCCAGTTCGCTCTATCTAAGTTACCAGAGGAGGCTTGGAACCGAATTTTCCCGACAAGCTTGACAGGTGACGTCACATCCGAAATTGCCACCGACGATTGGGAAGGAGGCTGGTCTAGAATCACTTTCTCGTGGGCAGGCAAAGTTTTCAAATTTTCCACATCTTCCTAACAACCTTCAGATCTCACACCCCCCTGGCTACAAAGTTGGGGCACAAAAACAAAATATCATTGTGCATTTACCTGAGAGTGTTTCTTTTTCCTGCCAAAGGGTACCGTAACTATAACACGTTACAAGAATAGAAAGCTCAATGCCCTTTAAGTGCCTGCAGTGCAGCAAGTGCTTTAGTCTAGCAGGAGACCTAAGGGAGCATAAAAGAGTTCACACTGGGGAAAAGCCTTACGAATGTAAACAGTGTGGCAAGTGTTTTAGCCAAGCAGGACACCTAAGGAGTCATGAAGGAATTCACACTGGGGAAAAGCCTTGCAAATGTAAACAATGTGGCAAGTGTTTTAGCCTAGCAGGACACCTAAGGATTCATTGAAGAATTCACACTCGGGAAAAGCCTTACCAATGTAAACAGTGTGGCAAGTGTTTTAGGCGAGCAGGACACCTAAGGAGTCATGAAAGAATTCACACTGGGCAAAAGCCTTACGAATGTAAACAGTGTGGCAAGTGTTTTACCCAGTCAGGAGACCTAAGGAGTCATGAAAGAATTCACACTGGGCAAAAGCCTTACGAATGTAAACAGTGTGGCAAGTGTTTTACCCAGTCAGGAAACCTAAGGGTTCATGAAAGGGTTCACACTGGGGAAAAGCCTTATGAATGTAAACAGTGTGGCAAGTGTTTTAGCCGAGCAGGACACCTAAGGAGTCATGAAAGAATTCACACTGGGCAAAAGCCTTACGAATGTAAAGAGTGTGGCAAGTGTTTTACCCAGTCAGGAAACCTAAGGATTCATGAAAGGGTTCACACTGGGGAAAAGCCTTATGTTATTATGTGTGGCAAGTGTTTTAGTGAAGCAGAAAACCTAAGAAAGCATGAAATGGTTCACTCTGGGCAAACTACATATGAATGTAAACAATGTGGCAAGTGTTTTAGAGTAGCAGCACACTTAAGGATTCATGAAAGAGTTCACTCTGGGGAAAAGCCTTACGAATGTAAGCAGTGTGGCAAGTGTTTTAACCGAGCAGGAAACCTAAGGATTCATGAAAGAGTTCACTCTTGGGAAAAGCCTTACGAATGTAAACAGTGTGGCATGTGTTTTAGCCAAGCAGGAAACCTAAGGAGTCATGAAAAAATTCACACTGGGGAAAAGCCCTATAAATGTAAACAGTGTGGCTTTTGTTTTAGGCGAGCAGGAAACCTAAGGAGTCATGAAAGAGTTCACACTGGGGAAAAGCCTTATGAATGTAAACAGTGTGGCAAGTGTTTTAGTCTACCAGGAAACCTAAGAAAGCATGAAAGAGTTCACTCTGGGGAAACGCCATATGAATGTAAACAATGTGACAAGTGTTTTAGAGTAGCAGCACACTTAAGGATTCATGAAAGAGTTCACTCTGGGGAAAAGTCTTACGAATGTAAGCAGTGTGGCAAGTGTTTTAACCGAGCAGGAAACCTAAAGATTCATGAAAGAGTTCACACTGGGGAAAAGCCTTACGAATGTAAACAGTGTGGCAAGTGTTTTAGCCAAGCAGGAAACCTAACGATTCATAAAAAAGTTCACACTGGAAAAAAGCCTTATGAATGTAAACAGTGTAGCAAGCGTTTCAGTGTGGCAAGAAGTCTGAGGAAGCATGAGAGAATCCACACTCTAGTTGGGTCACGTAAATGTTCCCGGAAAAACAAAAGTCTTTTTAAACGTTTGGAATCTTGCAAGCGGAAGAGAGCGGGAGGTAAAAACGTTAATTTTAGCAGAGCGATAGGTTTTACAAACAACCTTCAAACACAGCGGGGACTGGAAGCACTGATCTAACAGATGCACAATTGGTCATCTTTGAGAATTACAGCTGCTGGATTTGTCAAGAGGAGATGAGTAGTGAGGCTCTTCTTCTTCAACATTATGAAAACCATATGACCTATGTTTGTGAAGATGACTCTTAGGTTAATTAAAGTAAAAACTATGGGGAATTCTGTAGGCTCAAGGAGGAGGGGGTGAGTCAAATTACCTTGCACCTCCCCACAGGTACCGGGGGGTTGTTGACCAATGATTTCAACCAAAGGGAATTAGTGATACTTTGCTTACAATGTACATGTAATTGCCAAATCTTTCTGAATTTTTTGCCACGGTTAAGCAGTTCTTAACATAGTTCACCAGAGAATGGGCCGAAGAAAGCAAGAGGAGGGGCCACTGCCACATTTTGTCAATCTATGAATAACTCTGTTCTTAAACTGCCTCGAAAAGAAACTGAAAGTGCCGTCAGTGAAGTTTTTGGGGCTGCAGAATTATTGAAGGTAAATTAGAGTTAAGAGATTTATTGCGCATTTGGACACGGACGCCCTTGGGGGAGTGGCCCATCTCATCTGTTTAGTGTCCTTAACTGGGGAAATATAACTTATATGTACTAATCCCTGGGGGGTACTCCTAGGAATTCTTGTTTTAGCGCTCAGTCCTGTAAATTCTGACCTTATTTTAGACCAAAAATGTCATTTTGAGACCCGTTTTCAGACCAGACCTTTAAAATCCATACCCGTTTTTAGACCTGGCCTTTAGGCAGAAATTATGTCATGATTACTTAGATTAGAGCGCAAACAAAAATTTTATTCAAATGCATTTCGAATTCGCATATTTCTATTTCGTTCTTTTTCACTTGGAATGGATACGATAAATACGTCCCTACACTCTCGTAGTTCCCTCATAAACCATAGTCGATTCCAGAGGAAGATTTACACCCGTTTTCAGACCAAAAAGGTCCAAAAACCATACCCTTTGGGGCGGCACATACCTATATGGCTTATATAAGGGGTTTTTCCACCCCCCCCCCGGTACTTTCTAAGATCCTTTTTTTCTGCATCGTTCATCAGTTTGCGAAGAAGCCCCCTACTTGGAACACTACTGAAAGATCATTATGATCAGCAGGAAACTTTGTGAATAATCAGATTTACAACTTTCGTTCTATTTTACTTTTGAAATTGTGATGCCTTTATTAAAATACGTACATAAAGTAGTCTATTTGCCATATAATCAGTTTTGAAGGTCCAAGATATTGCCAATTGTCCACCTTTCGATTTTTCTTAATACTACCGGCCCTCAAAACGTTCGCAATGTACTGTCAGAAAATCTAATTGTCCCAACGCCCCCTCCCCTCCAAGAAACAAGTGCAGTCGGTTTGGTCGGTCTTCTCGTTGGAACGCACTCTCACAGAAAAAAACCTGGCTACGGGCCTGGCCGAGGATAATTCTTTAGAATAAACCTGCATCCTTCTACATCTCTCTCTTTCGCGCCGTTGTATCTCAACCAGGAACGAAAAACACACCGAACGACTACCTGCTACGCAGGCTACTGCAAGTAGTAGTGGAGAACTGAACTGCTCGCTAAGTAACTGACATTTTTGCTGCATTTTATAATGAAAACTACTGATGCAAAGTATAGGTTGTACATTTTATAGCCTCGTAGATTTCTAAGATCAATATCATTACCGGCTTTGAGTAAATGTAGGCGATTTATTTAAGAGAATAACGATTAGCCTGCGAGCAAGCTTATTTGGGGATATCGTGAAAAGTAGACGCGCGTGAGGCACTCGAGAAGAGATGCGAAAGCGAGGGATGGCCCCTCGCGGCTCGCTTCGCTCGCCCGAACATGAGAGCTTGATCGCAGGCAGGAGCCCATATCCCGGAGCGTGTAACCCCCATATTAGGCCTATGTGACGGCGTTTTTACTGACCGGTTTGTTTGTAGACACATTTTAGGGTTATTTTTCCCGCGAAAATGGAATCTCCTCCACGTCCATGACCGCATTCGAAGTATAAGCTATCAAAGGGGAAAACGTAACGTCATTAAAAGGCAAAAGTTATCATTTTTAGGGCTGTATGTTTTCCTGACTGGTTTTTGTGACTTTGAAGATACCGTTAAATTTTGAAAATAAGCTTCGGGGCCTATATTTTTCCTTTTTTTATACTGGGAGGGAAATTTACGTCTCAAAATCGATTGGGCTAGCTTATGGTTGGAAGCAAGCTTTATCAGTAATTTGCAGAAACTAGCCTTGAGAACGTAGATCTTACTGAAACTAATCCATGCCTTTACTTTGTCTATATGGAACGAGGAAATCAAAGCCAAGAGTTAAGAGTGAACTATGCAAACAGCAATATAGTGTGACACATTTTGACTGCAATCATTTGGCACACGTAATAGTTCTTTGGCAAATGCAAAAATTTTTGTGTTACTGTAGAGTTTTTGCTCTGATTTATTTTGAATTTGTGGGCAATTTCCAAGTACAAGCCCCCGGGGGACTATATTTGGAGGGGCGATTTAACGAACTGGTTTTTGGGTTACGAGTTTGGGGAGCTTGTATTTGGAGGGTCTTATACATGGAGGGGCTTATTTTCGGAATTTTACGGTATTCTAAATTCGCGCCAAGACCGTTCTAATAGGCTCCTGTCGCAGGCCAGATTTCTGCCTTGTTTGAGATACCTGTGGGCATGTGTTGGAAGTCGCGGATCACTCATTTAAAAATAAAGCTCCCTTATAACGTCTTACTCGGAGATACTACTAATGCAAATAATGTTTCAGCGAAAAACAGTGCCGTAGCAAGGTTAGATTTATTGGCGGGGCGCAATCACGAGCGCCGAAGGCGCGAGCTGCTAGGGGGGTCCGGGGGCATGCACCCCTGAAAGATTTTGAAATATGGGGTCTCTGAAATTGCATTTTAAGCCTTCCGAGGGCATTTATTTTCCATTTAAGAGGTGTACTTTGTTTAATGAGCGGTTTATAATTTTTCTTTGTTGAAGCCATAAATAAATAAATTTTAGGCTTTAGCGAACTGAAATGAACAGATTGAAGCGAAGAGCAGCGTGAAGAGCGTGGCCGCTGACCAAATTAAACATGCCTGTCAAAATTATTGGGGGGGACCCAGGCGCCCCCGGCCCCTCCCCATGCTACGGCACTGGACGGCACTGAAAAATTAGTAAGAAACAGTATTATAAACTATAGTATTTAACTGATTTTCGAATCAAAGCATAACCTTGAATGTACTGAAAATAGTTACCGTCGAAGGCCAGGGAACCCAGGGAAGTATCAGAAGTCAAGCCCGTGCGCGCCCGTTCCTTTTCCTCGGTTTTGGCGGAGGTTACGAACCCAGCCCAACTCAATGACCATCCCAATCACTTGTAGAAAATTATAAAACGGCAATGAGAAAGTAACAAAATCTACCAAGCGACTGTAACTACAGCGACGACAACTGAAACTTAGGTCGGAATGGCAACAAACTTTAAGGAACGTTACAGAAACCATCAGTCCTCCTTTCGACGCTCGAACAGAAGAAATGAAACGGAACTATCAAAATATATTTGGACTACAATACTCTAACAAACCTTTCCAGATAAAATGGAAAGTTTTAAAGAAACGTAAAGCCTATAGCAACATTAGCAAAAAATGTAATCTTTGTCTTTATGAAAAGTTCATCATCATTTGTAAAAAAGAGCTTTGTAGCCCAAACAGGGGAAACGAACTAGCGAGTTCATGCCCCCACAGAAACAGATATGTACTTCAGAACTAAAGTAGAATTCTAGAGTAACGTAACTAAGACACAATCCATCTGTTACCTAGATGCTATCTCTTAACGCATCCCTATATTTACTGCCAGCTTTCAATTTTAACGCTCATTCGTTGAAGTTGCCTGATGAGTGTGGTCCTACAATTTCGGACCATAC